GCCGTGCACAAATGACATTGCTGTCGACCGGCTTACGTCACTTCTTAGTACACACTCTCGGTGCGAATGCAACCCTTTAAATGGTACTGGGAAATAGCTCACGCAAAATCGTCCCAGTACTTTAGTACTGTACATTTAGTTCTGGAACTAAAGCGGTGCGAAAGGCCCTATTAGTACCTAAAAGGTACAAAAGTGTACCTTTTGAGAAGGTCCCACCCCAGTGACAGCTTTTGTACCTTGTTTTCTAAGAGTGTAGCAGCACTTTTATTTAGCTCTTTTTTCAACTCTAAAAACTACTAGACTCACAAGTTCTGCAATTACGCCAATGACACCACTGAATCTCAAGCCTTTAGAAAGACAAAAGAGGATTTGTTCCTCTTTGTGCTCTGGAGTACCGTTCTGTACAAAACGCAAGGCTCTAATTATTAGTTAAGGAGTATTAAGTAGACAAGAGCATTAAAAAAGAGTGAAAGAGAGAAAAACAGTTAGTGGTATTAAAACCAAGAGTGGCTATTTAAGCGACGTAGAAAAGGGAGACGATAAAGACAGCACGTTCTTGGGTCAAAGAAAGGAGGTGAATGAACTCTCCCTTTTATTTGAACTCTTGGGTGGTGTATTATCAAAGGTAAAGTTTCCATTATACACTATAGTCAAAATGGACCTTCTAGTCAGTACTTTGCTGTGTCTCTAGTTTCTTGTATGTAAAACAACTTTCTCACCGTAAATTTCCAAAGCTTTCAGATTGCCAGTGAGGGGGCAGACGTGACTCAGCTGACAGCGAGGAATTGTGGGGAGGGTCTTTCTCACACTTTGCTTTGCCAGACTCCTTTGAAAAGAGCCAACCAACTGATTCTAACTGCAAAGCTATGATAAGGACAATATGCTTCAAAGTATTTTGCTTCAGCTGCTTTTAAGGGGATATTTACAGATTTAAGTTTGACAGAGCCTTGACATACTTCTTTATATTAAATCATTAAAAAGCTAAACCTATGGCCATAAAAACAACATAAAATAAGTCAGAAATGTAAATATACATGTAAGAAATCTAACATATTAGATCTACGTAGATCATCTGGCATTTCACACAGTTGGTGACGAACATGATGCAGGGCTCACTGTTTGATGTAGCCTATAGAATTCAGTTTTATGTCCCTAATATTCAAGAGATTTTGTCTCATAGCATATGATATACTGTAGTTAAACAATGTGACATAAGCAACGAGTGCAGTATCACATGAGTGCTGTTTTTGTCCTGAAAAGCGATGTTATTGATTTTATGTAATAGTTCAATAAATAAGAAGTTAATGTTGTGTTGTATTTTAGACACAGTATAGTTATTATATTAATGCAATTCTAATTTCAGTGTAAATGCATTCATGCTACCTCTGAGCTGCAATAAATGGTCTGTATATCTAAATAAGTAATAAAGTAATAAATTCTAAATCAAATAAAATAGACTATTTCTCTCTAAAGTTACTTTTTGTAATATCTATTTGATGTGTGAATTTGCAATTAATTAAATTAATCACCACATTGTATAATTAATTGGATTATATTATTTATTAATTAAATATATTAATTTATTAGATTGTCCAGTATAGAAGAATAAAAGTTTAAATGAAGATTTCAATAATCATAATATCAATAATGCATCCAAGTTGTTGTCTGACTGTGGTTAAAAGTCCTCGGATCTTGGTTATATTAGATTCACATACTCTAAAACAGATGATAGAAGGTGTGTAGAAAGAATTGTTAAAGGGGTCATATGATGCGATTTTAATTTTTCCTTTCTCTTTGGAGTGTTACAAGCTGTTCGTGCAAAGTTAAGATCCGTAAAGTTGCAAAGATTAAAACCCAAGTATAGAAGAATAAAAGTTTAAATGAAGATTTCAATAATCATAATATCAATAATGCATCCAAGTTGTTGTCTGACTGTGGTTAAAAGTCCTCGGATCTTGGTTATATTAGATTAACATACTCTAAAACAGATGATAGAAGGTGTGTAGAATTGTTAAAGGGGTCATATGATGCGATTTCAATTTTTCCTTTCTCTTTGAAGTGTTACAAGCTCTTGGTGCATAAAGAAGATCTGTAAAGTTGCAAAGACTAAAGTCTCAAATCCAAAGAGATATTCTTTATAAAAGTTAA